CACAGCGTTTTAGTACCACAGCTATCCGTTACTTCGAATGAGTGCGTGACTGTTCTTAACAGTCGACAAGTATTATTATTTTGCATGAACCACCCACTTTGGTGAGAGGAAAGTCGCTTATCAACTCTTCAAAGAAGCCACCATAAGTAATGTTGACAATAATCTTCAAGGTCAGCACCGGAATAAGTGATATATTGTTTTTGTTTTTTTCTAAATTTGAGTTACGATGTATTTTTCAAGTATCAGTCAGCCTTTGTCGACAAGATGTCTGTGTTAAAGTTTCATACCAACTGCGTAAATTTTGTTTACGATGTTGATTTAATTTTAGTCTCCTATTGGATAGAATTGTGACAGTCTTTTGGGATACAGAAATGTTCTTTATGAAAGTCGTATGAGTTTTGTTCTGCGAGTATGTTTCTCAATATCGGTTGTTTTCAGTTGTCTGTAATTGAAGAAACTACCTTATGTAATATCATCCTAAAAAGTGTTGAATGTTCAAAGATAAGTGGATAGATAAATATTTTTCTTTTTTTTCCGTGACTGATGTAGCTTTGTGTTTAATTATTGGTTTTTAAATTGTTTTAAAGGTGTAACTGTGTCTAAAGAGTGTAACATTGCTAGGAATTAAAATTCAAATCACTGAAAAGGGCACAAAAACTGAGCCAGTACTCTGAAAACAGAAGTGATCGCTTCAGAAAGGGTTTTCAGTTCCAACAGATTGTCGTCGAAAGACATTACAATAATAATTACTCTCTGGATTGTGAGAAAGTTATCTTTCTGGTTACAGAAAGCAAACGTTTCCATTGGGAAATTATAATTGCTTGCGACACATGAAGCAAGACATCTGTCAGGGAAAAGAGAACTGTTTCAGTGATCTTTAATTAGTCTCTGGCAGCAATGTCGAGTCTTAACCCTTTGAAGCCGAAGATCGTCTGAATATTATTTATGAATTCAGTCCGTACCGCGAAGAAAACACTACACCTCACCATTACGAAAATCAGCTGGTTAACCCTTTGAAGCCGAAGATCGTCTGAATATTATTTATGAATTCAGTCCGTACCGCGAAGAAAACACTACACCTCACCATTACGAAAATCAGCTGGTTAACCCTTTGAAGCCGAAGCTCGTCTGAATATTATTTACGAATCCAGACCGTACCGCGAAGAAAACACTTCACTTAACCATTAGAAGTCGAATCAGGCGGTACCACATAAGATTTAACAAAAGAACATCCCGATCGAAGCCTTAATCAATTTAGAAACAAATTAAAAGAATTTGAAAGATTTTCTAACACCGAATACGATAAATGATTTTAAATATTGCGTGGTTATTAATCGCCATTCGAGGGGAAACAGAATATTTTGAATTTGTCAAAGAAAAGAGCGTAAAAGGTTAGCACGGCGATACAAGAAGGGAATATTTTTTTGTTTTATTGTGCGTATGAAACCATGAAGAAACTTTAAAAAAAATTGAGCTCTAATTATGATTGGAAAGAAAGCAGATTTGATGAGTAGAATCAGGGGATAAATTGACAAACAAAATCTTGAATTTTATGTAAAACTTCGCTGCATCATCCACGAACAGTCACTTGGCGGAAAACTTTTAAGAAACAAGATATTATGAAAGATGGCGTGACGATTATGAACTTCGATTTCATGGACTCTGTCATCGCCAGTTTATTAATCGAGCTTTTCGGAAATTGACGCTCAATTTGGGTATGTCTTGAGTCGTACGAAAGTCCTGTGGTTGTGTCGTAGGACAGTGTTGAAACGATTTTAAGCTTTTGAGGTCAGAAAGGCTGAATTTCGTGATAAAAATGGCTTTTTGGATTTGACATCGCTGTGTGATATCAGATAGCGCATAAATTGCTTGAATTCCAAACTTCGAGGTCAACATAAATGCGTTTCTGTTGAGTCTTAGGCAATCAGAGCCGGTAAATTGCATTTGAGAAAGGACGATGTTTTTGACAACGTCCGTACGTTTAACCCAGGCCTGCCCCCCCCCTCAAACTTTAGGGCGCCCCGTTCCACGACATTTCGATGTGTGATCTATAAAAAAGAATCTATCGTCATATTTGGCTCTCTGAAGATTCCCTTACAGGAGATTCGCTTCAACATTTAGATGCCATCTTCAGAGATCAGTATCTTAGTCTTGTCTGCCATCATCAGGTACGGAACATAACTGTGTTTAATCAAACATTTATTTCTTCAACAAATGTTACTTAATGTATTAAGTTTTTCCACCCTGTGCAACATTTCCATGCTGTAAGCTGTCCGTCCTGTCTCTGGGAAATATTACTGATTAGCGAGTGAGGAAAATACTTTGTGTAAACTATTTCTGGCACCACTATCTTCAAGTAACTGGTTTTGCATTTGGGGAAGAAGGTCGTAGTGTGGAATAGAACTTTTCTTTGACTTTTGTAGAGATTTTCTGTTCCAGGATATATGAAAAATGACGCATTAATCTTTTTGACGGAAGATATTAAAATATTAACTTTAGAAATATGTTAAGCTATCAGAATCTGCCGCCAAAATCCTGTTATCGAAATAATTTTTCGCAAATTTTCATTTCAGGAAACCGATATAAAAAAACTTCCTTCAGACAAAATGTGGTGGAAATTTGGAACATCAGAACACAAGTTCAAATAAAGGACGAAGGTAATGTATTGAACAATTTTTAGACATAAATTTGGAAGTAAAACTGTATTATTACATTTTATGAATATGAAGCATGTATTTTAGTAATATGTTTTACACAAAGCATAAAACTAGTTAGGCTCGTAACAATTTGTTTTTATCGAAACTTATATTAAAGTCCCTATAAGTAAACATTAGTCTGATACGTTTCCAATTCAAAATGGTCTAAAACAAGGAGATTCTTAATTGCCATTGTTTTTCAACTTTGCTTGAGAATCTGTGGTGGGATAACATAAATACCATAGAGAAGAACATGGAAGACTCTAATTTTCTCTAGTAAGAAGGTTGGTCTGGAAGTAAGTTGACGTCTTGTTACCAGAATTCAGGGCAAAACCTTAACGTAAAGATAGCTAATGGATTTTTTTTTTTTGAAAACGTGGCAAAGTTCAAATATTTGAGAGCGACAATATCAAATCAAAATTTGGTTCATGAGGAAATTAAGAGCAGATTAAATTCGGGTAATGCTTTCTACCGTTCAGTCCAGAAACTTTCGTGTTTTCGTCTGCAGTCTAAAAAACGTAAACATTAAAATAAACAAAAAAATTATAATTTTGCCTGTAGTTTTGTATGGGTGTGAAACTTGGTCTCTGACA